CAAACAGGGCACCTAAAAAAATGTTTCATCCTATATAATAAAAGAGTAATATGCAAATTGACCCTAACAGCACAACGACTGGGAATGACTGGTCACTATGACACACACTGACCACCAGGGGGCAGACGTTCAATGCGGGAGCTGCCTGGTGGTCAGTGCGCTCCCACAGGGGGAGCTCTGCCCAGCCACAAGCCAGGCTGCCAGCTGCCAGCACAGCGGGTGGTGGTGGGAGCCTCTCCTGCCTCCTCAGCAGCGCTAAGGATGTCCGACTGCAGCTTAGGTGCCGGGAGCCGGTCCATGCTTGCTGTTTCAAGGGACCTGGCATTTATGGCATACTGTTCTTAATATGTTTGCTCACCTTCTTGGCACTATGTGTTTTAACCAAGGTCTCTGAGAAAGGTTGTTTCCCCAGGTAGGGATTTTCCCCTGAAGTTAGGGAGGGAATAAAACCTCTTAACTAAGTGCCAGGTGGGTAATTAATCACTTTAACTACGAACAATCATGCTTAAGCTACATAATCTTTACTCCCTGGAATGGAGATAAGAAACGCCCTAACCTTTGAAATAGAGATTGATAGGATTGGAATCAACTGGTATAAATACAGATGTAAGAAGACAGAACCAAGAGAGACAGAACCTAGGCATAGAACCTACACAGAACGTTCTCTAGAGACAGAAGAACTTCGCTGGAGAGAACATGGCAAAAGATCCTGGACTGAACCTGACTACAGAAATTGGCAAGAGAACCTGACTAGAACCTGGTGACTAAACCTGGCTGGATAACCTAGAGAACCTGGCTGGAGAACCTGGATAGAACCTGGCTGGAGAACCTGGAGAACCTAGCAAGAGAACATGGACACAGAACCTGGCTGGAGATCCTAGCCAGAACTTCGCTGGAGATCCAGACCAGAACTTGGCTGGAGATCCTGGCTAGAGATCCTGGCTAGGCTGCTGATCAACTGAACGCTGTCTCCGTGTCCTTCCTTTTTCGCCGACTCCATCCACACCTTTGGGGACCCCTGGACCTGCTGGGGTTGGACCCCGGCACTTAGGCCTGCTCCCCACTGGCAAGTGGACATCCCTGAGGGGTCCCAGATTGCGAGAGGGCACAGGCTGGGCTGAGGGACCCCCCCCCCCCCCGCACAAATTTTTGTGCACTGGGCCTCTAGTTTTATAAAATAAAGCCACCAACACAAAAGAATTACAATTCTTAAATTGATGACAAAAATACCTGTAGGATTTGCAGCTGGGAAACATACAGGTAACTTTATGCTTCGAGTAGGTACTTTTGTCACCCGCGCGCGACTTGCGGACACAACTACTAACCACTGCACATGAGACTGCTGACTGACCAGCTCACTCAACTCGTGCATGAATCGCACACGCCTCCCCCATGCTGCTTATCCCGCGGCCCGCTTGCGCCGCGTCTCCCGTCACCCGACCGACCGACCGACTGACACCCCCCACTTCTTCTAACGCCACTTCTTCAAAATAGACTCGCCCAGGCCAAAAACCGACTTCTGCGCATGGGCCACGAAGTTTCAATCGCCCGCACGTGGTATTTTGTGGAAGAGCCATACTCAAGGGACCAAAGAGCCGCATGTGGCTCGAGAGCCGTGGTTTGTGGACCACTGCCTTAGGATCTTAACAAGTCAGAGTCCTTGCTTTCTAGCTGCACTGTAGCTAATCAGGGAAGAGTTTAAAGTTCTGGAAGCGTATTGGAAAGTTAGAAATCTTTAAATCTTAAAATGGGATCATGGAGTCCTAATATTTGGTGACAGGAGATTTGACTTTGGGTGGTGAGCACGTGGTGCAATATACAGATCCTGTAACATAGAAACCCACACCTGAAACCTGTATGTTCATATTGACCAATGTCACCCCAATCAATTTAATTGAAAACAATGCAATCATTGTAGGCCATGGACCCGAAAGAAATTAGGCCAATCCAAGATAAAATTAGACAAATTTTTGAAATGAAAATTTAAAACAGTGACCCCAGTGTTACTATTAAATGTATTTAGATGATCATCAGATGTACGAATAGTAAATATTTCAGGTAATACTGTGATGCTTTTATCCCAAGAGTAAATGCAACCTTTTTTTAAAATAGGCATTTAAGAACAAAAATATTTGCATTTGACGATGACATTGTACATTCGATGTGTTTTTCCAATGAGAAAGAAAATGTTGAAATTGACAGTTGTGCTATACTGAAAATTACAAGTTGAATCATTGACTTACTACTTAGATGTACATGTTTGAGAGAGTATTCGTGTCCTCAGGCTCACCATGGGAGAGACCCTGTATCTATTACTGAAATAGGTCAATTTGAAAATGTTGGTACTGTTATTTAATCAATGATAAGCCATAGATTTTGCTAGTGTATATTAAATCCTTTGAAAGTAGTTATACACAATGTTACTTACAACATATATAACAACATGGCATTACTGTCCAGAATATATCAAAGAATTCAATAAGTAAGAGACATTAACTAATGGGAAAGTGGTAATTCACTCAGAAGAGATGGAAAAAACCCCCAATCATTATATTTTTTAAATAATGCCAACCTTCACCAGTGACCAGGGAAATTAGTACTAAAGCAGTGATTTTTATTTCTACCTAAGATACTGACAAAAGTTAAGATTTATTTAATGTTTATAGGACACTGGGCAGGTGCAGAATCTTTGTGGTGTGTAATTGACACAGCCTTTTTGAACTTCTACATTTTACGGAATTATTTACCATCAGCAGGCCTCCGTGTCCATGCATATAACTTATTTAACGGGGAAAAAAAATAGAGGATCTGTGGATTTTGAAGTACATTTAGAGAAAAACAAGCTGTGAAATGAAGAAATAGCCTTTAAAACGATGTCTTTGAGTGCGTATCAGCCAGTAAAGTAGTGGTCCCGGTCAAAAAGATAATCCGTTCCTACTAACTGTACTTTTTCGTTTTAAATTTCATTTTGTTTTCCTTCTTTCAGTTTTGACAGCTAGAGTCATGGGTTAGCAAATACATTTTCTTTGAAACACCACCTCCTCTGGAATGGTCATTACGGGCCATTCATACATAGTTGTGCAAATGGAGTCAAATTGCTTTTCCAATTCCTTGTATTAGCTCCACTAATGGATTGGAAATTTTGAAATTTTGACCTGAGGAAGAGCTGTAGTCAGCTTTGGAGCACTTTGGGAGCCCGGGAACTCAGTGCCTAGAGAGAAATGCATAAAGGGAGGGAGGGGCAGGGTCTGAGAGAGTGGATGGCTTGCTGAGGGCCCTCCCAGGCCCCTCCCGGTACCCTCAGCCCAGCCGCTGTAGGGGTTCTCTGAGGAAGTGCACTCCGTCACCCTCCAGCCATTAGTAAGGCAGAGTTCATCTGTGGGCCAGTCCCATTCTGGGGATCAGAAATGTTACAGGAAATGGAGAGCCTAGGAAGGAGCCACATTAGCGTTGGTGAGAGTCTGCAAGTCATGCCTTATTTGGGCTAAACGAGAACATTTTTTTTTTAATTAAATCTTTATTGTTCAGATTATTACAGATGTTCCTCTTTTTCCCCCCCATAGATCCCCTCCACCCAGTTCCCACCCCACCCTCTGCCCTTACCCCCCCACAACTGTCCTCATCCATAGGTGTACGATTTTTGTCCAGTCTCTCCCCGCACCCCCTACACCCCTTTCCCCCAGAGAATTGTCAGTCCACTCCCTTTCCATGCCCCTGATTCTATTATATTCACCAGTTTATTCTGTTCATCAGTTTTTTTATTCACTTGATTTTTAGATTCACTTGTGTATAGATATGTATTTGCTGTTCATAAAAAAATTATGAACTTTAACGAGAACATTTTTAAGGGGAACGGACACAGCTTTGAGTATGGGAAGGTCTGTCATTTAGATTTTCTGCTTATGGATACAGGTGGGAAACATCGAAGCCATAGGCAGAAGCCACAAAGAGGCTAATTTCATTGCACAATAGTCCCATAATCATTCTTAGAACAGTCCAACCCTGGAATGAGCTGCTCTCCCAAACTGTGGCTCCGGCTGCTGCGGAAATGCCTAGACAACAGTCGGTAGCCCTCTCCGAAAGGAGGTTGGTTTGATCAGAAAATCCCTTTATTTTTTTGCTTATGAAATACGTTTTCTTTTTAACTTTATCTTTATTGTTGGGTCAGGTAATCTTAAAAATCTTTTATAACATTACCCTCTGATTCTAGTGCTTCTTAAGACAATGAAATTATATGTTCTAGGACTAAGCCCTGGAACACTGCACCCCTTTCAAAAGCCAAATAGGGGCGGAAATACACAGACAAGTCAAATCTTCTTCTGCTGTAGCTGAGATAGACGAGAACGTCCAAAGCCTTTAGCACAAATGGAGGAAGAGCAGATGAGAAACTGCAAGTAGGCAATCCAGACGCTGAGGAAACTGGGTCACTCAGTTCCGCTCTCGTCCCGTGCTCACCTCCCTGCCGCGCGGGGGTATTTACCGCGGCGAAGGGGTGGCAGTCTCTCTGGCAGGTGCCCGGGCCTCTCATTGCGTGTAGGGAGCAGCGAGTCACTGGGCGCAGGAATCTGTACTTTCAGAAACTGGAAAAGGAGTGTGTGGCGTGGACACAGCTTTTTTTTATTTTTATTTTTTTTCATTTTGGAGCGCTAACTAGGTGGTTGCCAGTTTATCAACAACAATGAACTGTCTCTGGAAATGGAATGACCTGGAGAACAGTGCTTCTGTCTGAACTCTGTAGTTGGGGGGAGCAAGACCCCCGGGGCAAGCCTGACAGGTTTTGTGTTCTGTGTGGGCGCCAGGGCTGAAATGCGGGAGAGGCGACCCCGTCTCCCTTCCCCACCCTCTCGCCCGCAGTGCTCACCTCTCCTCTGAATAAAGTGGGACAAATATTTGAAGAATGTGGGTTTGCAGGGGAGTCCAAATACTAGCCTGTGTCTCTGTCAGGCCCTGTGTTTGCCAGGTGCTTCATATAACTCTCTTTCTTTTTAATTTGTCTACAGTGTCCATGGAAAACATTGGAGAACAAGGTAAAATATGCTATTGTTTCAGATGTAAAATTTTAAAAATCATTTGAAAGAAGCAAACTGAATTCACTTAGCTTTGGTTGGGATAAATAAACTGTTCTTTAAGGATGTGGAGATAAGATGGTGTCAAAGATATCCATTCTCGTAGTCCCCAGACTGAATCCTGCCCCACACGGCAGGGAACTCTGCCGGCGATGCCTGTAACTGTGCCAGCTGCTCATGGCTTCCACATGCTGGAAGGAACACCAGCAACTTCCTGTTCTACCCCGTACCCGTCTCCTGCATAATCCATGGAAAATATCTTTGGCTCTAGTTATGTCATACTGATTTATGCCTTAATGGAAGATTTAACTTTTTAATGATTCTATGAGTACCATCATTCTTTTAAAAAGTTAAAATTGCTACTGTTTTAAAATACCAAATAGGCTATCTTAAATTAGCATATTTTATTCAACTGTATCTTACAGAATTGTTATCTGTAGGGTGTCCCAAAAATGTATACACACACTTTGAATCAATATAAAGGCAGTGTTTATGAACATACATTTCATTGTCAAAATTGAGCTCTCAGCTGTTAAAGTGTGTATACATTCTGGGGGACACCCTGCATGTATATCCCAGAATTCATCATTACCACTGTATACAAAAGCCAGTATTTTCTATTGGCGTAGCACGTCAAGAACAAAACACAACACAGAGTGTGTTCACATATTTTACCTGAAACAAGTGTCAGAATGCTTTTCCTAACGGTCGCCCGGTGTGGTAAACAGGACACTTGGCCTTCCACTGGAGGACAGCACTCTCTATCCAGATGGTTCTCTGCTTAGATGTGTTGTCATGAACACAGCGAGGGCCGCCGGATCTGACTGGCGCTGAGCAAGCGATTAAACAGCTTCTCACATAGGAGCGGCTTTTGCGATTCTTCGTCCATGAAGCAGAGATCCTAGAGCCTGAACGTTCTGACAGTTGTTTAATGCTGTGCATCTGATTCAGAGTTGCAGGCGTAAGTGCTCACTTTACCAGTTTAGGAAACGTGGCTGTGAGCCGTTTTTGACAATGGACGGGGCCTACCTACAGGTGGAAGGGCACTAATCACGGTCACATCTAATTATGCATTATTAGGGACTTTTTAAAAACCCTTGGCTTTAGGTCTAAAAATTCATTCATTGAGTTGTGCCTATTCCAGTATGCTATAAATGAACTTATTTACAATTATAAAAATTAATAATAAAAATTCAAAATAAAATGAACTTATTATATTTGGCAGTTTTGGCGTTTTAGAATAAGCAGATTGTTTTGAATACCAACTCACATATTACAGTAATAATTATGTTTCTCTCACTTTAGTTGTGTGCCTGATTGCTTATCATCTCCTTTTTGCAATGTTTGTCTGGTCGTATTGGAAAACCATCTTTACATTGCCAATGAACCCTTCAAAAGAAGTAAGTAAAAATATTAGTAAAGTCATCCTAAAGTTGGAAATCAATAATTCTGATGTCTGAAGAGTTAATTTTATGTCTTTTTATTAATATTGCAAACTTATTGAGTGTGATAGTTTTTTAATATTAATGTATCTATTTGTAAATACTTGAATTTTCACTTGGTAAATATTAGTTTTGCACTGGATGAGTATTATATTTCCAATGTTAAATCTGTCGTGTGTTCTACTCTTAGGGTTCGATATCAGGATGGATGGATAGATAAAATACATTAGATAGATAGACAGATAGATAGGAAAGTAGACATGCTTCTATTAAAATTATCCTATTAATGGTGTGTTAGTTGGCTGTGAGCCACCAAACAACAAAGTAATTATTTACCTAATCTCTATATTCAAGGTCTATAGCTGGGCTACACCCGCCAGTCTCCAGGCTGCTTCTGTGTTGTTGCTCTGACATGTGTAGCCTCCATTCCCAAGGTCACCTCTTAGCCTAATTTGGCTGCTTGGTTCCAGCCGTCATGTCTGCATTCCAGTCAACAGGCCAGAAAAAGTAGGAAAGAGAAGCAGAAGGAAATGTCCTTCCCTTTAAGGACTCTTTTTGGAAGTTGCTGATGCTGTTTCCACTTACATTTAGAACTTAGTTCTATGGCCATAATCTGTTTGCACAGAAGACTGGGGTATAGTCTTTATTCTTGATGGCCGTGTTAGCCATGTTAGAAGAAGGAAAGAGTGGATATTAGGGGTCAATTTCATCCACAGAAGCTTTTAAGTAAAGTGATATGATCTGATATGCATTTCGCAAAGATCATCTGGCTGTTTGTTTCTGGGTCTTTAATCTTGGTTAGTTAGATATTCTTGGAATAAAGGGCTGTGTCTTACTCATTTTTATATATTTGGCACTTAGTCCAGTACATGTTCGTTGAATAGAAATAAACTTTTTTCCCAGTAATAATAGTGTTTTAGTAGGCTAACTTAAAAAAAAAATGGAAAAGGCCCTGGCCAGTTTGGGTCAGTGGATAGAGTGTCGGCCTGCAGACCAAAGGGTCCTGGGTTCAGTTCCGGCCAAGGGCACGTACCTCGGTTGCATGCTCCTCCTGGGCCAGGCCCTGGTCGGGACTCATGCAGGAGGCAACCAATCGATGTGTTTCTCTCACATCGATGTTTCTCTTTGTCTTTCTCTCTCTCTTCCACTCTCCCTAAAAATCTATGGAAAAATATCCTTGGGTGAGGATTAACAAAAAAGGTTTTAAAAAGTTAAAGTCTGGGCATCACTACAGATTGTTTCCTAAAGTGACCTGTTTGATAAGCAGCTATGGTAAACAAAACAAAACCCAAAAAAAGCCCAGTAAATATGCTATATGTCCTAGGAAAGGATATTAAAAACAAAACACAGTACTTGCAAAGAAGTAATGGTATGCTTGGCCTAGAACAGCCGTGGGCAAACTATGGCCTGCCGGCCTGTTTGAAATGAATAAAACTAAAAAAAAAAAAAAAAGACCGTACCCTTTTATGTAATGATGTTTACTTTGAATTTATATTAGTTCACACAAACACTCCATCCATGCTTTTGTTCCGGCCCTCCGGTCCAGTTTAAGAACCCACTGTGGCCCTCGAGTCAAAAAGTTTGCCCACCCCTGGCCTAGAATGTATTAGATATAGCCCCTTTTCCTTCTACTACCTACTTTTTTCCTCCTACCATGGTTACCTCTTTCCTAGTGTCTCTCTTACCCCCATCCTGGCCTTAATTGTAGGTTTGAAGGGAAATTGGGACGTCCATTGTAGGTGATCTCATCCACTGTACTGATGATTATAACCTTACCCATGACCTCTGTCGAAAATTTCCAAATGTATTTTTACGTCTGACCTCTCCTGTGAATTTCAGACACAACCTCCCTGCCAAACGTACCTTCTTGATCATTCCACCGACACCTTAAACCTAACATATCAAAAACTGAATTCACTACCCTCTCCTTCCCCAAACTGTGACTCATCCATTTCTTAGGCTGCTTAATGCCCCTGACATCCACCTCGTCATTCAGGCCAGAAGCTTGGCAGCCGTGCTCCGTCCTCTGGCTTCCTCGCCCCTCTGCCAGCATCCAAAGTCTGCTGATGTTTTCACCTCCCTATATATTTTTTTTAGTTACAATCCCTTCTTTCTTTTTGAATCATTGACTTAATTCAGAGTCTCCATCCTCTCTTTTGTCAGAGACACTGCAGTCTTCTATATGATGTCACTGTTTTCAGCTTTGCCGACGTTCCCTTCCCAGAACCCTGCAAACATTCATGCTCCATCCTGAAGCTGGAGCGACCCATCCAGAAAGCAAACGGAGTACTTTCCCTCCCCTGCTTGTATCTTCTCATGCCTCCCCTTACGGTGAAGGCCCGTCGCCTGAGTCGGACAACAGGGACTCTTGTCTAAATTTCTGACTTCACACTTTATACGCTAGTAGTTCTTCATTACGCGTAGTTTCCTGTGTACACCGGGCAGTTATTTTCTTTCTGGTTTATTCTTATCCCCTTTCTCATCCAGATCATTCTGTTTTTATTTGTACCGGCACCTCCTTACTGGCCGACTTCGGTGGTTCCTCATCATCTCGTGAGCCTCTAGCAGTGGTTCTCAACCTTCCTAATGCCGCGACCCTTTAATACAGTTCCTCATGTTGTGACCCCAACCATAAAATTATTTTCGTTGCTACTTCATAACTGTAATTTTGCTACTGTTATGAATCGTAATGTAAGTATCTGATATGCTATATGTGTTTTCCGATGGTCACGACCCACAGGTTGAGAACCGCTGCTCTAAAGCGTTGTGTTATCTCAGAGCTCAGCCTCTGGGTCTCTCTTATTTATCTACGTTATGGCTTTACCGTCTCATGCATTGCTATCGCTTCCAGGTTAATATCATCAGTCCGGTCCTCTCTTCTAACCCCAGGCTCGTTGACAGCTGCCTATTTGGCATCTAGTTGTGAAGACAGACTTCGGGTCCCGCCCCCTCCCCCAACCCGCCGATGGCTGACGTCTCCCTGTCTCAGCGGTGGCCGCTCCCTTCGCCCAGTTGTCCAGACCCACACGCAGTCACTCAGCACGTGCTGTAAGCCGGGCCCTCACGTCCTCCCTCCGGCCCCGGCCACTGCCTCTCCCGCTCGTGTGTTGCGGTACCCGGTCAACAGGTTTCCTTGCTTTCGTACTTGCCCGCTTCTGTGTGTTTTCAACGCAGTAACCAGAGTCATTCTTTCAAAAACAAGGCAGATCCTATCATCGTCTTCTTCTCAGGACTTTCCTATGACATCTGAGCCCCTCAGCGCGAAAACCTAGTTTCCTGCTGGAGCCCCACACTGCATACCTGGCCCACTCTTCTGTTTTGTTTTTTTAATTATTATTTTTAATTTTTAAATCTTTACTGTTGAAAGTATTACATATGTCCCCTTTTCCCCCCATCAGTCCCCTCCAGCCCCCCTTTCCTCCACCCCAGGCCCTCGCCACCCCGAGTGCGTCCATGGGTCATGCATGTGCGCACACAGTGACGCACTCTTCCTGAGTGCCCCTCAGCCTCCTGGCCTCCTGCTGATCCATCCACGTGCTGAGCGCGTTGCCCCTTCAGGAGCCGCGACACCTGCTGCTTCTCCTTGACCTGAGCACTCCTCTCTTCTGTGACCCTCCCTTTCTTCTCTCTCTGTGTCTCTGTCCAAGTGGTACCTCATCTGTGAGGCTTTTCATGACCACTCTGTATGAAATAGCAAAACCCTACTACCCCCGGAGTTCCCTATGTTTTTCTCCGTAGCATAACATTCTGTAACACATCCCACATTCATTTTTCTAACACCCCTAGGACACAAGCTCTGAGAGGCATGCACTTTGTCTGTTTTGTTCACTAATCCGTCGCCAGTAGGGAAGCAGTGTCTCAGCCATAAAAGGGACTCGATTAATATTTATCACGTCATTGGAATCAGAGAAGGTGTGTGTGTGCAGATGTAAGTCTCTGCTTCTAGCTTTGGCAGGAAGTTGAAATGACTTCTAATTTCTCCCTCAAATTATGTGGAAGGTTATCGGCTAAGAATGATGAGGGAGTTGGGTTGACTGAGGTTTGTAAGAACAGAGAAGGTTTGAAATAGTGAATGAATACAGTGGGGAAATGGAGTGATACAAAATGCAGAAGAAATAACAGTTTCAATGGGATCGACGACAGTGAAGTTACAGCTGTACCAGGCTTTGTCGGATGATTTTTCCACAAAACACATATTTACCTTATTTGTTTCATTTAACTGTGTGAGATAGATAGTATTTATTACCATTGTAAAGATTGAGCAACAGGCTCTGAACATTGTAATACTTTTTCCCAATATACAAGTAATATAACCATACTAAATTACATTTAGAAAATAAAAGGAAAAAAACATCCCATTCCACTAACTCAGTTTACATTCTTAATTTCTTTCTAGTTAATTTTTTTCACACCATAGTCCTTCATTGGCTCATTTTCATTTTTAACTACAGCCTAATATTCTCACTGAAACATTGAAATGTACTCAGTCACATCCTAACTTAGATTTTCAGGTTGACCCCAACGGATCATATTGTAAATAATGTTGGTGACATGTCCACACATAGACCATTAACCATTTTTGAATCATTTCCTTAATATAAATTCTCAGGTAGAAGCACTAGATGGAGGAAATTTAAGTCACTTGCCAAATTGTTTCCTAAAAGGATTGTAGACATTTACGTGAAGTGCTTCTAGTTTTATCAGACCCTTGGTGTTGCATGTTGTTATTAAGAAAACTGTTGCCACCTTCACTGTTGTAATTTGCACATTTTAGGTACTTGTGAGATTATATGTTTGTTTTTGTTCTAAGTGAAAAACAACTAGCAAAAAGAAAATACACTTGAGAGTTTTGTTTATTTGTTTCTATTTAATTAATTTATTTTTAAATATATATTTTTATTGATTTCAGAGAGGAAGAGAGAGGGAGAGAGAGACAGAAGCATCAATGATTGATCAGCTGCCTTCTGCGCACCCCACACTGGAGATCAAGCCCACAACCTGGGCGTGTGCCCTGACTGGGAATTGAACCGTGACCTCCTGGTTCATAGGTTGAGGCTCAACCACTGAGCCACGCTGGCTGGGCTGTTTATTTGTTTTTAGAGTCTAGTTTTTTCCTTAATTGGTATGTCCTTTTAAAATTATACTTTCCTTTGATGTGAAACTGCATTTGAGCCCTGATCTTGGTTTCTAATACCATTCTTCAGTGGAAGGAAGGAGGGCTCCCTGGAGAAATAGCTGGTCCTAGAACTAGAACAGGAAATATTCAGGGTGAGCCACGAGCATCTTATAGTCCCAGAAAGTGAGGATGTTCAAGCAGACTTAGAAAACCGTGTTTTGTTTTTTTTAATTATCTTATTGGAGCCCAAAGAAAAACTTATTTTTCTCAGATAATTATTTTTTAATTGGTTGGGCCAAATTGGCAGTACAAGAAGTGAAATTAACAATTAGTCTGTCTTGAGTATTAGAATTTGTGTAATAATTATTCCTAATTTAAAACTTAGGTTAGAAAACATGCATGATAGATTTGTTTCTATTTTTGTCCCTAATGATATCCAATTGAAAAATTCATCTGTTGAACCAAAGTTGTTTCTTGTGCTATTTATCTATTAATATAACTAATATTTGGATAGAACTCCACAGTTTATAAAGCACTTTTACATATTCTGTTCCTCTTGAGTTTCACATATCTCTGAGGAAGTGGGTATTATTATTATTACGAGAGGCCTGGTGTGTGAAATTCGTGCATGGGTAGGGTTCCTAGGCCTGGCCAGCAATCAGGGCCAATTGGGCCTTCTTTGTTCTGCCCCCTGGTGGTCAGCACATGTCATAGCGAGTGATCTAACTCGTAGTCTCCCAGTCAAACTCCCAAGGGGACACTTTGCATATTAGCCTTTTATATATATAGACTAGAGGCCCGGTGCACAAAAATTTGTGCACTCGGGGGGGAAGGGGGGTCCCTCAGGCCGGCCAGTGCCCTCTCGCAGTCTGGGACCCCTTGGGAGATAACGACCTGCTGGCTTAGGCCTGCTCCCGGGTGGCAGAGGGCAGGCCCAATCCCTAGGTGCAGCCCCTGGTCAGGCTCAGAGCAGGGCCGATTGGGGAGTTGGGGAGCCTTCCCCTGTCACGTACAGAGCAGCGCCCATCAGGGGGTTGGGGCGCCGCCCTCTGTCATTCACAGAGCAGGGCCGATCAGCGGGTTGGGGCGCCGCCACTGTCACACTCAGGGCAGGGCCGATGGGGAGGTTATGGCTCTACCCCATCACACACAGAGCAGGGCCCGTGGGAGGTGGGGGGGGGGTTGGGGCGCCACACCCTGTCACACACAGAGCCGTAGGGCGATCAGGGGGTTGGGGAGCTCCCCCCATCAGGCACAGACCAGGGCTGATCAGGGGGTTGGGGCGCCTTCCCCTGTCACGAACAGAGCAGGGTGGATAGGGAGGTTGTGGCCCCGCCCCCTGTCACACACAGAGCCGCAGGGCGATCAGGGGTTTGGGCGCTGCCCCCGTCACACTGATCCCCGTGCCGGGAGGCCTCGCGGCTCCGCTGATCCCAGTGCTGGGAGGCATATTACCCTTTTACTATATAGGGTAGAGGCCTGGTGCACAGGTGGGTGCCGGCTGGTTTGCCCTGAAGGGTGTCCTGGATCAGGGTGGGGGTCTCCACTGAGGTGCCTGGCCAGCCTGGGTGAGGGGATGATGGCTGTTTGCAGCTGGTCACACACCCTTCAGGGTGGGGGTCCCCACTGGGGTGCCTGGCCAGTCTGGGTGAGCGGCTGAGGGCTGTTTTCAGGCTGGGGGTGACTGAAGCTCCCAACCGCTCCTTTTTTTTCTTTTTCTTTTTTTTTATTCTGGGCCAGCTTTAGCTTTGAGGCTTGGCTCCAGCTCTTAGGCCTCTGCTGCTGAAAGTAAGTTTCTGGCCTTTGCTTACAATGTTGCGATCCTGCTGGCTGAAGCCCGGCGGACTAAAGCAGGTTTCTGGGGTTTTGTTTAGCTTCTATATATGTTACATAGTTGCTTAGAGTTGCAGCTCAGAGGCCTGCAGCGGCAGGCGGGGAACGTTGGAGTCCTCCGTCACTAAAGCAAGCAAGCCTCATGTTAGTTTCCAGTTGCCTGGCTGCCGGCCGCCATCTTGGCTGGCAGTTAATTTGCATATTGCCCTGATTAGCCAGTGGGAAGGGTAGTGGTGGTACGCTAATTACCATGTTTCTCTTTTATTAGATAGGAGGATTATTATTCTACTTTCTAGATGCATAAACTATTCACCTGCAAGGTTAACAGACTAGCCCAGATCTCAAACTCTATTACCTTTCTGAATTTATAGACTGTATGCCATTAACATTTTATAAATGCCTTCTTCTGGATTAGTAGATCAATATGTGTTATCATTTCTTTGAAAATACTGATTAACATTTAAATCTGTTCCCCAGTTCCACCTCTCTTACGCAGAGAAAGAGTTGCTGGAGAGAGAGCCGAGGGGAGAAGCCCATCAGGAAGTTCTCCGGCGAGCAGCCAAGGACCTTCCCATCTACACTAGGACCATGTCTGGAGGTAGAGGTCGATAATCAGTGCTCCGCACAGGAGCTTGTGGTGACTGTGGGAGAGCATATGTATGTCCTTGAAACTGGCAGACACTCATTGAGAAACATTGTGCTAGGTCTTGGATGGCTGTGAAGTCTTTACTGCACAGTTCCATGAACCACAATGGGAACACGCGTACCACTGTGGCACAGAGATCACAACCAGGTCACAATGGATTGTCCATCTATCCTGCCTGTGTGCTGTGACTCCATGACATGCTGAAATCTTGATTTGTAGTAGTAGTCGTTGTTAAAGGTTGAATTTAAGATTGTCCTGTTGTCATTTAATTTAATTTAAGGGAGCAAGATCTATAACATATAATCTTACATACCTTTAAAACAGAAATTATACACAATATATAGGAACATACGTAAAATATTGGTACAGTTTTTCATCTTTAAAATTTATGGTAATTTTTTAACAAATGCAACTTAAATAACAAATCTCTTTTACTTGGGTGAGATTTTTAAGATAATTTAACAGCTATCTAATTAAAAGACTCGAAACAAAAAACTTATTTTTACGTTGTTTTGATTTCCAGTGAGTTACCGCCCACTTTGGTTTGAAAGTTTTTCCTTGTGTACTTTAAAGTACAGATAATCACCAGCCAGGGAGGATCTAGCGTTGTCCACCAGACGTCACCTGGAGATTTTGTGACTTTAGACTGTGGTGCCCATTGACGGTCTGCTAGTCCCTTGTGGCTACAGAGCACTGACAGTGTAACTGTGAGTGTTAAATACATTTCAGGTTTCAAAGAGCTGGTATGGAAAAACCTAGAAGATACGACTTTCTCTTTAGTTTTTTTAAGGTAGCTCCTGGAGAGCTTAAAAGCACACATGTAGCTCCCGTTATATTTCTCTGGACAGCACCGCATTTCACCTTCATACTGGGCAGGAGCCAGGGAGACCTTGGAGGGTCACGGGGAGGGCACCCGTGGGCGTCTTCACTCCCAGGCTGAGCAGCAAGGCCACGCTGTTGATCCCTGCAATTCCTGAAAAAGGAAAGGTGTGAGGGGTAATGAGGGACTCATTTCAACACTGAAAACAACTCCCTTTAGACCTTGTGGTCTAAGAAAAGCACGTCTTATTCTTAGTTCATAGCAACTGTTTTCTTTTTCAGAGGTTATAGCATTAGCTTGACATAACCTTGGTAATTACTTATGGCGAGTATTTTTTCCAAATTTTACATTTGTAAGTGATCCTACTGGACTGCCCCCGTAATAGCTGCTTTCCTGTAACTTTGGTAGCTGCCTCCCTCCTGTGAGATGCCTGCGGACTGAAATAGCCTCTCCAACTGTGTCATTCATAGCTGCCTTTGCTGCCTGTATTGGAGAAGGGAGGATCAGGTCTCCCGTTACAGGGATTGAAATTCTTATTGGGAGTACTTCTTCTAATTCTCACTTCTAAGCTTGTACCACGCTCAACACAGAAGGTGTGAGACCTTTCTCAATGTAAGCGATCAAGAGAGTTTATTCACAAATTTCTAAAATTAGGTTTGCATAACATTTCTAAAATGTGGTTGTCTCCTCTCGGTTATCCTGGCGGGTGCAGAAAATCATTGGTTTCATGGAGAGAGACATTCTGTTTACTCAGATGGAAACGGACATATTTCCATGAACCTTTTGAGCCTTACGGTAGGTAGGTAGATAGATAGATAGATAGATAGATAGATAGATAGATAGATAGATAGATAGATAGATAGATAACCACTGACACTTGAGGATGCCCTAGAACAGCGGCGCCAACCTTTAGGGCCTCACAGACCATCGGTTGGCGACCGCTGCCCTAGAAACATTTCCCCTGAAGATCCCCGTCCTTGGGAAACCTCTCCGGAGAACTGAGACTGTGGGCCAGTCTTCTCCGTGTTTGTATTTAAACGGAGTCGACTATCTCAGTTTTACCGAATGTAAATTTGGAATGTTGTTTAGAATTTAAACTGGAATAGATGACGGGCGCCAGGTAATCGCATGTTCAGTGCGCTGTTCCGTCGAAGGCTAAGTGGAGCTCTTTGTTCACAGCAATCCGATACTGTGACCGATGCCAGCTGATAAAACCAGACCGCTGCCACCACTGCTCCGTCTGTGACAAGTAAGAAAACCTTCATTTCTCCCATTGAGTGTGTTTCTCTTCTCACTGTTTTCCAGACTGTTTCCTTCTCTCCTTGCTCATGTTCTCACACCTTTCTTGAGGAAATGGAATTGGCACGATCGCTTGCGTTAGTAACGAGTGTGGTTTAGGGCCAAAATCAGTTGTCCCCTTCCCCCGATTCACACTGGCATGAATGTCCTGCATGATGTTTAGCAGCTCAGACTTGGCTGGCTCGATGTGGTAAGTGTTTCTTCTGTGACCCTCTCCCAGTTGACTGTGACGGTCAGGTGTTATTACATACTTCGTGCCACCACAAGAGCAGTAGAATAGCTTGGCCTAAGGATGGAAAGGAAAGGACAAGTTTCACCCGGACTTCCTTTATATCCGTTGACATGTTGCACGTTCTTCAGCGTCAGATACTTGTATCTGAACTCATTGCGTTGTTTCAGTTGAAAGTTCTATTATTGCATCATAACTGGAAGTAGCTACTGTCTCTATTTTAGATGAGGACTTTCGCTATTATTCTATTTTTATTTTGTTTATTATTGACACTTATTACAGATGTTCCCCTCTTTCCTGCTCCTTACCTACCTCCACCCAGCCTCTGCCTCCTCCTATTATTCAGTTTTTAAATAAGTAAATAATTTTGCAATATTTTACTTGCTACAACCCTTTTGAAATAACATATATATTTTTTAATAATTCAGTGGGACTAAGTTTCCATGGGGTGTTGAGTTTTGTGTATATGTTTTTTTTTAGATGTATTTTGAAGATGGACCATCATTGCCCATGGTAAGTCTGGCTCTATGCTTAAACCGGTTTCTGTCCCTTCTAACTTAATAAATAAAATCATTTATCTGTTTAAATCTTTTTATAAATGAAATTTTGCCTTAGCTGATCTAGGAGGTACTTTCGGATTTAATTTCTGATATTTGCTTAATTAGTTCAAGAGTCTTTATTCAGGAGAATTTCCATGAATAATTTTAAAACCAGTAGCTTACCAATTTAAAAGTTAGCTTCTCATATTTTCTGAGAACAAATGGTTTTCTTTGTATGCACATGCATAAACATAGAAATTCTAAAATACTCCTCAGAAATTATACCAAAATGTATATATAAACACAATACCTCACTGGAAATTTCTAATAATTAATCTAAAGCTTTAACAGTTTATTTTACATAAAACTTGGCATTAGGGAGTAGAATAACAAGTATGCAAAAATACACACATACTGTTGAAATAAGGGTTTCCACTTAGAATTCGTTAATATTTTAAAAAATATTCCTAAGTCAGGAAATTGGGTGTCTTAATAGAGTATTCGAAAGGCCTCATTATCTACTGAAGGTGTTCTCTACCTTTCCCTGTAAGTTACCACCCCGTGTGCACGCTCCTTTGCCAGTCACGCTGAGGTTGCCAGCCAGGTTGGCTTGCACACTGAGCATGATATTCCATGAGCCTCATCTTCTCCAGGGGTGGCGCTTGAGGAGCCTGTGCCAGTGGTAGGTTGAAGCATAGACCTACAGAGAGTGATGATCTCAGTTGCAGGAACAGCAGGGGGACGTCCGGTTTCCTGTCTTCTGTAGCCCTCCCCGGGCTGCCTTTTGCTACTGTCTGTGCAGATGTTCTCCTTTAACAGGTTATAAAGCTCCTTAACGCCTATAAGAACGATGTTCTTCCCAAAAACGACTTCACTAAATATCCTCCGTTGTGTATTAGTTTTCATTATGTTCATTCTTTTTTTTTTTTTAAATATATTTTTATTGATTTTTTCACAAAGAGGAAGGGAGAGGGATAGAGAGTTAGAAACATCGATGAGAGAGAAACATCGATCAGCTGCCTCCTGCACACCCCCCACTGGAGATGTGCCTGCAACCAAGGTACATGCCCTTGACCGGAATCGAACCTGGGACCCTTGAGTCTGCAGGCCGACGCTCTATCCACTGAGCCAAACCGGTTAGGGCAGCATTCTTTAGCTGTCCTCACTCTTCCTCCCCCCCACCCCCGTTGCATTCATTCTGCTCTCATTCTCGGCAAGCAGTGCCCCTGTGCCTTCAGTGATAAGCAGCCTGATCCTCTGCGTATCCCTCTGCTGACCCTCCCATGGCACATGCTGTCAGTGCCCACTGTCTCCCCACAACCCACCTGAGTCCACTGCACCTGCGGGGCAGTCCCCATGCCCGCTGACAGCTCCCCCCCCCCCCCGTCCCCCCACCCCAACACCTCAGTCTTTGCTGCTCTGCCTGAGGGCCCTCTTCCACCTGGGCGTTTGCTCACCTCACTAGCCTGGCGTCCCGAAGTGCCAGGGCATTCCTGCTTCGTGAGGCCACTCAACCAGTGGGAGGCTAGTTAAGAGCACATGCTTTTTTGAATTTTCTCCCTTCTTGTTTCAAATAAACTGGGGTTACAGAGTGCCGACTGTATATTTCTTGAAAAACAACCTGTGCCTAAGTGGACCCGTGCAGTTCCAACCCGTTGGTTCAAGGGTTAACTGTATAGTTATATGGTTCTTTATCGATTAAAGCGATATTACGCGTCAAATTTGAGAAATCGAAACACAGAGTTCCTTTTCAGTGGAACGGATATTTTGAACGTGTGTATGTGGAAAGAAATCTTACGAAGGACACGTAAGATTTGCCAGTACACTTTAAATGATAAAAACTAAACGCTGTGTTAAGGTTGGCCATATGTATACCTGTGCTAAAAAATGTAAAACTCATCAAAAATGTTTTCTGTTTTATCAACAGGGTGAACAATTGTGTTGGATTTTCAAATTATAAATTTTTCCTCCTTTTCTTGGCTTATTCCCTGCTGTACTGCCTTTTTATTGCTGCTACGGATTTACAGTATTTTATCAAATTTTGGACAGTAAGTCATTACCGTGTTGATTTTTTTTTTTGGTATATAAAAGTATATAGTACAGTTTTTCGTTAGTGAATTATTTCAGACACTGATTTTATAGACTTGAGCTCATTTATAGTCAGTCCTCATTATTTGCAGATTCTGTGTTTGTGAATTCACATCTTGCTAACGTTTCTCTGTTACCCAAAACCAGAACTCACAGAGCTTTTGTGGCCATTTGCAGACATGCACGGGGTGGCCAGGAATGTGCGTGCCCCATGTGCATGTCAAGCAAGGAGATAAAACAAGGAGACGCTGCCTTCTTGTCTCAGCTCCCATATTGTGACACGCTGTGCTTTTCACTCTACTTAATGCCACGTTTTTGTTTTTTTGGTTTTTTTTGCATTGTTGTGCTTTGTGTTGGTCATTTCTGTTTAAAATGCTCTTCAAGAACAGTGCTGAAGTACTGTCGGTGTTTCTGAGCACTCGTGTGAGGTGCTTTATGGAGAAAATCTGTGTGTCGGGTAAGCGTCCTTCAGGCGTGAGTCATAGTGACGTTGGGTGTGAGTTCTGTGTCAGTGAATCAACAATAAATGTTGAATAAGCTGTCGATACTGTGTCTTCAGGCACAGAAGCACAGAAAACCAGGTTATGAATAAATAGTTCTGCTGACAAAAGTATGACTGGAGGCTCGCAGGAACCTTCCCAGTGTTTTCCCTGGGAGGAAGCCAGTGCTCATGGCAGCTTTATAGAGCACAACCACTGAAATAACAAGAATTGACTAAGAAGATTTTTTTTTTTTTAGCTTTTCTAAATAGAAGTGTTTTCTTTATGTGTAAAAAGATTATTTTTTTTAAACTTATATCTAAAATGCCCGAATTTTTACTAGGTATTGCTTGATTAGGCTTTAGTTAATTCATTTGTTTTCTGCACTATTTACCTTAAATGCAAGCAAAACAAAATTAAAATTGAGTATTTTAAATATTCAAAGATACTCCTCGTGAATACCAAACAACAACAAAAAAAGTCATCCCCTGCCAGAATTGCTTTATTATTTTCATGAAATTATTCTTTATTTGGTAAGACTTTCCTAATTGCCAGGTCATTCATGCGGGACGGGATTTTAATCACATTCAGTACCAGAGATTTATTGAGCATCTACTATGTGCCACTTCATGGCTGAGCACTAGGGGTACATAGGCGTGTGGACAGGCTCTCAGCATCAAGTAGACCTTCACTGTGCAGTAGAGGAATGATCCCTGAGGAATGTCTGAGAGATGTCACCCCACGCTCCTCGCTCCTGTGAATAGCTTTAGTCCCAACCACAAATATATTTGTAAAGGAGTAGCCAGGGTTTTCACTGTGAGGACTGCTGTCAAAAGCTCCCGGTGAGGTCTTGTGACCTGTCAGTCTGACAGATCCGCAGGGTGGGTGTGGGTGCAGTATTCCCTTCTATCAGAAGGAGACGCCTCCTGGCAGCTCTGGTGCGTCACTGAGCATCCGTAGCCCCAAACCTACCGTTCTAGATAGAGCCGGGTGTCCCTGGGCAATAACACAATGAGAGTCACGCTGGTTTTGCTTTGAGATGGCCTCTTTTGTCACAGAGTGACGTAAGGTTTATTTTACACCGGCGTTATGCTCTCCTGTTTATCTTTTCTGTGATGCTCTTGTTTACAATAGCCTGAAGCATTACTGTGGATGTGTTGTTGTATGTGTTCTTGTAGTAGATGCTGTCGTAGTAAAGTAAAACATTGGTGAGTATAGTAGCTAAATTGTGCCAGTCAACCTTCATTTTTGGCACTTTAATAAATTTATTTAATCATTTATAAATATGTAGTATGTTACAAAACGTATTCAAGTAGTAAATTCAAAAGTAAATTTTATAGTTCCTTATACCTTGCTTTCTTCTGTTATAATTTACACTCATATTACCACAGTTTTTCTATGATTCAGTTATGCCAAACAAAATAAATACCCCAAGTTTGAATATATTTTCCATATATATTCATATTCCAATAAACATTTATTTTAATCTGATGCTATATGTTTTTTCTCAAAGTTTTAACATAAAGCCATGTATCTTTCTCCATATCTAAATTTAAGAAATATTTTAAGAAAAAAAAATCTTACTTATAAAAGTAGGGGAATGCTTATTCCTTTGACAAAACATTTCATTTTCTTCCTTTCTTTATAGAATGGTCTACCAGATACTCAAGCCAAGTTCCATATTATGTTTTTATTCTTTGCTGCAGCTATGTTTTCTGTCAGCTTGTCTTCTCTGTTTGGCTATCATTGTTGGCTAGTCAGCAAAAATAAGTCTACATTAGGTGAGTATGCAATTTTGTAGTTAAAAGAACTTAAGTACATAAATAGATACTCATCAAACGTTGCCATATGAGTAAATGCCTGTCTGTCCTGAAGTGGTAAAAATTATTCCTATTCCCCACATTGTTTTGTGGGATGTGACTTAGACACAAACAGATTTACTCATGTAATTTTTTTGCTGTTTATCACATGTAAAACATTGTGTATATGCAGTGGTGAGTAAGGGCTGAACAGCCTGGTGAAGGGCATAGAAAAACCAGTAATTAAACATAAAAGTAATTACAACAGGCAAAGTACTTTAAAGGAAACAAATAGGATCCCGAGGTATATATCAAGGGCTGAGGGTGAGAGAAGGGTGCCTGTTTAGAAGAGTGATCAGGGAAGAACTCACCAAAATAATACATATTTAACCTAAGAAGTCAGTCATGGAAAGAGCTTGAACATCTCAGGCAGAGAAAACAGTATGTTCAAAAGCCTGACAGAGGGGGATGCTGTGAAAATAGAGGAAAATAAATATGTAACTAATAAATGCTTACATTAAGAAAAGAGAAATCTCAAATCAATAACTTCACACTTTAAGAACTATAAAAATAAGAGCAGTTAACCCAAAGCCAGCCAAAGTTAGGAAATGATAAAGATTAGAGAGGAGATAATGAAAATAGAGAATTTAAAGATAGAAGATCCAATGAAATCAATAGTTGGTTCTTTGAAAATAATAAATTTGACAGGCCTATCGCTAGAAATAAAAAAAAGAGAAGACTCAAATTATGAAAATCAGAAATGAAAGTGGGGACTACCAACTTTATAGAAATCAAAAAGGTTATAAGAGAAACCATGAACATTTGTACATCAAAAAATTAGGTAACCTAGATGAAATGTACAATTTCTAGAAACACATAAACTACCAGTCTGACTCAAGAAGAAATAAAAAATCTGAATAGACCAGGAGCAAGTTAGGAAGTTGAATCAGTAACCAAGTACCTCCCAACAAAGAAAAGCCCAGGACTTGAGGGCCTCACTGGTAAATTCAGGCAGACATTCAAGAAGATTAACACCAGTTCTTCTCAAACTCTGCCAAAAAAATTAGAAGGAAACACTTTCTACTCACGCTTTAAGGTTAGCATTGCACTAATTGCAAAGCCAGATAAAGACATCACATGAAAACTGCAATATCCCTTAGGAACACAAATGCAAAAATCCTCAATAAAATACAAGCAAACCAAATCCAGCAGCATATTAAAAGGACCATATGCCGTTATCAAGATTTATCCCAGGAATACAAAGGTGTTCACTAGAACAAACATCATATATCACATTAATAGAAGGGGAAAAACCAAATGATTATCTCAACTGATACAAAAAACGTGTTTGACAAAATATAATACCTTTCATGATAAAAGCACTTAACACACTAAGAATAGGAGGGAACTTCTTTGATCTGATAAAGGGCTTTATGAGAGCCCCACAACTGATATTGCACTCAGTGGTGAGAAAGAAAAACCTTTAAGATCAGGAACAAAACAAGGATGGCGTCTTTCTGCTGCTTTTAACACCACTGGAAATTCTAGTTAGAGAAATTAACCCAGAAAAATGTCCAAATTGGAAAGGAAGTTAAAACTATTCTTTTTCACAGATGACATGATCATATATATAGAAAACATTAAGGGCCCCACATAGCGAAAACAACATCCACCAAAAAATAAAACAAAGTTCTCACTATTTTCAGAACTTGCTGCAAATCTACAGTGATCAAAACATTGTGGTGCTGGTATAAGGATAGAGATGTTGACTAATGAAATTGAACTGAGAGTCCAGAGCTAAACTTACACATCTTTGGCCAATTGATTTTTTTTTTAAATATATTTTATTAATCTTTTACAGAGAGGAAGGGAGAGAGATAGAGAGTTAGAAACATCGATGAGAGAGAAACATCGATCAGCTGCCTCCTGCACACCTCCTACTGGGGATGTGCCCGCAACCCAGGTACATGCCCTTGACCGGAATCTAACCTGGGACCTCTCAGTCCGCAGGCTGACGCTCTATCCACTGAACCAAACCGGTTTTGGCTGGCCAATTGATTTTTAACAGGGATACCAAGACCATCCAATGAGGAATGAATAGTGTCTTTCAGAGTAATATTTGTAAATCATATGTCCAAGGGCCGAGTATCCAGAATATGTAAATATTACAACTCAACAACAAGAGAAACAAGCCCAGTTTAAAAATTTGCAAAGGATTTCAATAGACATTTAAAAAGACATTTCTCTAAAGAAAATATACAAATGGCCAACAAATACCTAAAAACATGCTCCATATTATTATTTATTAGGGAAATAAAAATCAAAACCACAGAGAGTACCACTTGGATGGATATTAAAAATAACCCACAAGCTTTTGTGAGGATGTGGCAAATTTGGAACCTTCACATATTGCTGGTGGGAATATAAAAGTGTGCGGTCACTGTGAGAACAGTTTGGCAATTCCTCAAAATGTTAAATATAGAATTACCATATGACCCAGCAATTCCAGTCTTAGGTATATACCCAAAATAATGGAAAACAGCAATCAGCAGATAATTTGTATATCAATGTTCATAGCAGTACTATTTGCATTAGCCAAAAGGTGGAAACAATCCACATTCCCATCAAAGGATGAATGGATAGGAAAAATATGGTTACATATATTCCAGTGGAATAGTATTCAGCCATAGAAAGGAATGAAGTACTGAAACATGCTACCACATGTGACTGCCTACTGGTTTCCTCTGGGGTGAAGAAAATATGTTGGAACTTGATAAAGGTGGAAGCTGCAGAAAATCATGAATGTACTAAATGTCACTGAATTATGCGCTTTAAAGTTATTAAAATTTTTTTCTTTATTGGTTAAGGTATAACATATGTGTCCTTATCCCCCCATTACCCCCTCTTCCTCCCACTCATGCCCTCACCCCCCTGGTGTCTGTGTCCATTGGTTAGGCTTATATGCATGCATACAAGTCCTTTGGTTGATCTCTCCCCCTTCCCCCCACCCTCCCCTACCTTCCTTCTGAAGTTTGGTGGTTTGATTGATGCTTCTCTGTCTCTGGATCTGTTTTTGTTCATCAGTTTATGTTGTTCATTATATGCCACAAATGAGTGAGACCATGTGATATTTATCTTTCTCTGACTGGCTTATTTTGCTTAGCGTAATGCTCTCCAGTTCCATCCACGCTGTTGCAAATGGTAAGAATTCCTTCTTCTTTACAGCAGCGTAGTATTCCATTGTGTAGATATACCACAGTTTTTTAATCCACTCATCTGCTGATGGGCACTTAGGCTGTTTTCAGATCTTAGCTATGGTCAATTGTGCTGCTGTGAACATATGGGTGCATATATCCTTTCTGATTGGTGTTTCTAGTTTCTTGGGATATATTCCTAGAAGTGGGATCACTGGGTCAAATGGAAGTTCAATTTTTAGGTTTTTGAGGAAACGCCATACTGTTTTCCACAGTGGCTGCACCAGTCTGCATTCCCACCAGCAGTGCACGATGTTCTATAAATTTCACCTCAATTTTTACAGAAGTCTGTAGGAAGAGACCTAGCAATGTTTGAGACACTACCCACATGGTTGATACATAGAAAGCTAAAAAACAAAAAAATATATACTATGAGGTTTGCTGAGTAAGCAGGGACTAAGCTAACTGGAGTTTTCTAGACTAAGGTTGGGAGTTTGGGAATACAGCCAGGACTTATGATCTCAAAGGACACTTCAAACAGTGAGATTCCATGATTATAATTGTCAGTGAAGATTAATTGTGGCCAATGAATGACAATTTTTAATATTCAGGTGAAATCTTATAGCAGATCTATTAGGGTGACAATTGGTATAATAAAGTAATTTCTAAACAAAGTATCTTACTTTCAAAATAGATGTTGGACAATTAAATTTTAATTTATCAAAAGTAAATGAATTGCTTCTAGAAGCTTTTAACTCCTCAAGCTTGTAGATTGAACTTGTAACACCAAAAGGATTTCCTACAATGTGGTCCTCCAGTTATAAACCTGTGTTATACATAAAGCTATATAACTTAGGGCAGTGATGGCGAATCTTTTGAGCTCGGCATGTCAGCATTTTTAAAAAACTCTAACTTAACTCTGGTGCCGTGTCACATATAGAAATTTTTTGATATTTGCAGCCATAGTAAAACAAAGACTTATATTTTTGATACTTAATTTATACATTTAAATGCCATTTAACAAAGAAAAATCAACCAAAAAAATGAGTTCGTGTGTCACCTCTGTCACGCGTGTCATAGGTTCGCCATCACTGACTTAGGGGGATAAATGCTAAGGAACTTGGAAATTGCCACGTATTTTTAGTACCTTCACTCTGCTAATTAGAGTTTTCTTTTTTACATGATGGACAGAACTCATTATACTCATGCGTTTATTCATAGTCAAAAAATAAAATTTTATATTTTTACATCTCAGAAAAAAATGAAGCATGGGAAGAACATTGCTGGCCTTGTTCAGGTTGCATGCTGATATTTACTTCCTGTGTGATCATTTATTTCCTGTGTGATCTTGGGCAAGTCCCACAGCCTCTCTGCGCCTCAGCTTCCATATGCAGTGTAGGCATAACCACACACAGGGTATGATTCTGCATTGGATCTTGGTTTGGACAAACCAGCTTTAAAGTATATTTTGGGTTAGCTGGGAAAAAAGGTACAATTCAATGAAATTGTAAAATGGAACATACTATAAAATTCAGGCTATAGAATGTATGTATGGTCTCATTTGAGTTAAAACCTATGTAGATTTGTATATATCTATATCCATCCACCCATGTATCTAAAAAAGAATTAGAAGATGTAAATTACTTGCTTTTTGTATTTTCTAGTTTTCTGCAATGCCCATCTGCTGCTATAATAGTTAAAAGGTTACTTAGAAATTAAAGTAAATGTAATCATTAGATCCTTTTAAAGCGGTACAGGCAATCTTCATTGCTGAGCTGCTGGTCGGCACATAAGTCCTCAGGGGGTTAGCCATTGATTTTCGAGTGCCCTCATTTAACTCAATCACTTCTAAAGGTACGGGTTACTAGTTAATGTTCATTACTCACGTGATTGCTCTGCTGTCTTTTTTAGAGGCTTTTAGAAGTCCTGTATTTCGACATGGAACAGATAAGAATGGATTCAGCTTGGGTTTCAGTAAAAATATGCGACAGGTTTTTGGTGATGAGAAGAAGTACTGGTTGCTACCCGTGTTTTCAAGGTATTTCGTTGTGAAATGTTTCCGGTATTAAACCAATGAAAGTAATCCAGCAAAGGGACTGTATGATTCTGCACAGGACCTCCTGTTTTTTAGCGTACTATTTTATGATTCACTGTTGTACCAATGTGGAAATAAATTAACTCCTCACCTCCCTATACAGACTGTATTGAAATCAGTGTCTGGCACACGTTTGGCCCATCACGGAACTGTGTTCTGCTCGCAGACGTGAGCGCTGTAACAGAGTCTCACTCTGTTGGCGTTTTCGTGGCTCCGTTGTAAGTGTTTGTTTCCATTATAGTCTCGGCGATGGCTGCTCCTTCCCAACTTGCCTTGTGAACCAAGATCCTGAACAGCTGTCCATGCCTGCAGGACTGAATCCAGCTTCGAAAAAGTAATCTCATGTTGTTCTTTTCTACTTCACTTTCCAATAACATATGTTATCCTCACCTGTCCTTGGGTTACATGATTCTTTGAAAAGTTTTAAGAATATAAGAGAATTCACTACAGTGGTTTCTATTTGGAATGAAGAAGGGAGGAAAAAATCAGGAGCTTTAGTTATACTTGAAAAATTCTGTTATTAATCTGGGTGGTGTGTAAACAGGTTGTTAATTCTCTAAACATTTTAGTTGACTGAAGCATATTGTGATTTTTTAAAAAAGATATTGTACTTAAGCCCTAGCTGGTTTGGCTCAGTGGATTGAGCATCGACCTGTGGACTAAAGGGTCCCAGGTTCGATTCTGGTCAAGGGCACATGCCCAGGCTGTGGGCTCGATCCCCAGTGGGGAGCGTGCAGGAGGCAGCTAATCAATGAATCTCTCTCATTGTTGATGTTTCTATCTCTTTCTCCCTCTTCCTTCCTCTCTGAAATTAATAAAAAAAACTATTTAAAAAAAATTGTACTTAAAAGAGAAAAAAAAGTAAGCCCAGATCAGCTTGCCTGGCGATCAGGTGAGCCGATCCAGGTGGACTTTCCTCTAACTCCCCAGGTAACTTGTAAAAAGATCAGGAAACTTCCCTGAGTCAGGCCTCAGGAGGACGAATGGGATCCCAGACACCTGCTCTTTTGTTAGCAGTTTTGTTAGCAATGTGCACCCTATTCCTGCTGCTCTTTACAGACCTCTGGGCATTATCTGAGCCATTTCTTCTGAGAGAAGGGAAGGGCTCTTGGGAATGTATTAAAGTCGGGAGACTTTTGACAGTGTTTTAAGTCTATTTTGGTTCTAGTCTGTTAAGAATCTAAGGAAAACCTGAAATTTGATTCTGACTTGGCTGCTAACTGGCAAAAGGCAAAACTACTTAAACGTTTAAAATGCTATACATATATGAACAAGTTTTTAAAACTAATTTTTATATCGTTAAGACGGAGTTATTTGAATATGACATACTTCTGATTTTTAATGAAATCCAATAGCAAAAGCATAACCATGATAGCATTCTTAGTTAAATTTTAGAAAGTTTCTTAGGTGCCAGAATGCAGTGCGCATGCACCTATACCTGCGCTCCCCCTGTCTATTGCGGATTTCTTTCTTTCTTTTTTTTAAAATATATTTCTTTATTGATTTCAGAGAGGAAGGGATAAAGAAAGAGAGATAGGAACATCAATGATGAGAGAGAATCACCGATTCCTGCATGCCCCCTACTGGGGGATCAAGCCCGCAACCCAGGCATGTGCCCCCGGACGGAATTGGACCTGGGACCCTTCAGTCCACAGGCTGACGCTCTATCCACTGAGCCAAGCCGGCTAGGGCTAGTGTGGATTTCTTATTGCCAACAGTTCTCCTCTGCAGCCTGGCCTGACCCCAGAATGCGTCTCAAAGCAGTGATCCTGGCGGCCATTCCAAATTATTTTAAATTGTCCAGAGATGAAACCTATTTACCACCCCATCCCTAGAGGGAGCTATGAATAGACCATACTCCCTGTCAATGAGGGATTTCAATGTGCTTCACAGGGACATTCAAAGGCACCAGAGTATTTTGGGTCATGCTCTGAGAGTTTTGGCTTGAAAACTCCTCAGGAGCTAAATGTTAATGGTTTTCTTTACTTTAGTGCAGCAAAATCTAGTTTTATTTAATTTATTTTTTTATTAATTAAATCTTTATTGTTCAGATTATTACATTTGTTCCTCTTTTTTCCCCCCATAACTCCCCTCCTCCCAGTTCCCGCCCCACCCTCCGCCCTCACTCCCCACCTACTGTCCTCATCCATAGGTGCACGATTTTTGTCCAGTCTCTTCCCGCATCCCCCTTACCCCTTTCCCCCACAAGAGTAGTCAGTCCACTCCCTTTCTATGCCCCTGATTCTATTATAATCACCAGTTCATTCTGTTCATCAGATTATTCACTTGATTGTCAGATTCACTTGTTGATAGATGTGTATTTGTTGTTCATAATTTGTATCTTTACCTTTTTCTTCTTCTTCCTCTTCTTAAAGGATACCTTTCGGCATTTCATATAATACTGGTTTGGTGGTGATGAACTCATTTAGCTTTTTCTTATCTGTGAAGCTCTTTATCTGACCTTCAATTCTGAATGATAGCTTTGCTGGATAAAGTAATCTTGGTTGTAGGTTTTTGGTATTCATCACTTTGAATATTTCTTGCCACTCCCTTCTGGCCTGCAAAGTTTCTGTTGAGAAATCAGCTGCCAGTCGTATGGGTATTCCCTTGTAGGTAACTGAGTTTCTTTCTCTTGCTGCTTTTAAGATTCTCTCTTTGTCTTTTGCTCTTGGCATTTTAATTATGATGTGTCTTGGTGTGGGTCCTCTTTGGATTCCTTTTGTTTGGGGTTCTCTGTGTTTCCTGGACTTGTAAGTCTCTTTCTTTCACCAGGTAGGGGAAGTTTTCTGTCATTATTTCTTCAAATAGGTTTTCAATATCTTGCTCTCTCTCTTCTTCTGGCACCCCCATAATTCAGATGTTGGTACGCTTGAAGCTGTCCCAGAGGCTCCTTACACTATCTTTGTATTTTTGGATTCTTTTTTCATTTTGCTTTTCTGGTTGGGTGTTTTTTGCTTCTTCGTATTTCAAATCTTTGACTTGATTCTTGGGATCCTCTAGTCTGCTGTTGGGAATCTGTATAATATTCTTTATTTCAGTCAGTGTATGCTTAATTTCTAGTTGGTCCTTTATCACAACCTCGAGGGTCTCATTAGATTTCTTGTAGGTCTCATTAAGTTTATCTGCAGTTTCTAGAAAATTCTTGAAAAACCTTAAAAGTGTGGTTTTGAACTTTATATCCAGCATTTTGCTTTCCTCCATTTCTGGAATTTATGTCCTTTTTCTTTGTCTCCACATTTTTTATGCTTCCCTGTGTTGATAAAGTGGTTTTCTGTGCTAAGTGTCCTCTAGGGCCCAGTGGTTCAGCCTCCCCAATTACCTGAGGAGGACACTCTTGGTGCACCCCCTTGTGGTCTTTGTGCACAGTCTTGTTGTAGTTAAGTCTTGATTGTTGTAGGTATTACTGGGAGGAATTGACCTCCAGGCCAATTGGCTGTGAGAATCAGCTGTGTCTGCACTGGGAGAACTTCTGTGCTGGAGACACCCCTCTGGGGCAAGACTTGCTTCAATGGGGCTTTGGTGCTCACTGAGTCTGCCCCCTGAGTGTGTCCTTTATGGTTCCACGGAGCTGCAAACTGGATGGTCCCACTCTGACCTCTGGGTACACTGGCTCCTGGATCTCTAGGGAGGTGCTAATCTAGCCTCTGCCTTAGGCTATCCAGCAAAAGCCTCCCTGCAGGGCTTGGGCGGGGCGGGTCCCACGGGATCAACAGGGCGGGGCTAGCAGTTATGGCTGCTCTCAGAGGCCCCACTTCTCAGTGTCTGGGCAATCGCTGTAAGCCCTTCGGAGAGAAAGCTGCCCTCGAGTTCCGACCGATGCCAGACAGTCCCGCTTCTCCTGTATGAGTCTGGGTCCCCAGGGACTCACCCGGAACTGGAGCTCAGAGCCTGAGACTCCCTCCTGATTGAAACGACAACTGCACCCTCAGCCGCCAGCCCGCTCCTTGTGCGCCTCTGTACCTTAGTATTTTACTTCCGCACTGCGCCTCCTCTGAGTCTCGGTATGTTTTTCTCTTTCCTTCTAGTTGTAGAATTTCCACTCAGCCAGCCTTCCTGTGGTTCTGGATGATGTCCGTTCCGTCTTTTAGTTGTATTTTTGAAGTTGTTGTTCGAGGCAGCAAACTCCATTGTTTACCTATGCCGCCATCTTGGTTTCTCCAAAATCTAGTTTTAATAAGTTATTTGTTATGCTGTCATAGCTTTCATAAAATTTAACAGTAGTTTTCAATAATGCTTGTTATCTTTATTAAGTGGTTTTTGTAGTTTAAGACTCTTTGGGTTCTAAAGATCATACCTCTCCCATGACGTGTCCCCAGGGTATGCCCGTTCTGGCACTGTTACCTCGCCAGGTGATCTTGAAGAGGTCAGGCTTCTCCTGTTTCCTTTAAATGTTGAGATTGGATTTTGGCAGCTACAGAATTTTATAATTACCCCTGATTAGCCCATATAAAATTTCTATGGTTATTGTTGGGATCGCTGTGCTCCAAAGTTTTATATCTGGCTATCTACTCAACATTCCCACTTCAGTGTCTAAAAGTCATGAACAGGTACAAAGCAAAACTCCTGATTCCAGCCATCCACTCCCTCACGCCCACCAAAACCTGATTCTCCTCATTCTTCCATATGTGAATCAGTATTTGTGACCTTTGTCCTCCCAGGTACTCTGGCCAGAAACACTGGACTCATTCCAATTCCTTTCTTAAAGTTTTTCTTTATTTACTCCATTTGCAAACCCTATCAGATTCCCCCTCAAATATATCTGTATCATTTCTCACATGAATTGTTTCAATTTCTTCCTGACCTTCCTGATTCCATTTTTTCCCTATTCCTGTCTAGTCATTAAGTCGGCGTGATCCTTTTGAAACATAAATTAGATTTTGTTGCTCTTCTGCTCAAAAACCTCCATTGGTTTCCCATCTTACTCAGAATAAAGACTAATGAATGCCCTTACCTCATTCTATCTAATCTGGCTCCCAGCACCTCTCTGATGTCAGCCCTACTGTTACTCAGTAACAATCCTTGGACACACAGATCTTGGCTGTTCCTCATACACCAGGCATGTCCCTTATTTAGTGCCTTTGTACTTGTTCATTCCTCTTCCTAAATGTTCTTCCTCCAGAATCCTGAATGGTCTGTGCCTTGTCTTCATTTACTTTCTACTCAGGTGTAACTTCACAATAGAGGCCATCCTTGAAAAGCCTTTGTAAAAGAGTAACCTGCTCTGACACTTCCCTGGACACTAGTTGTCGTAGCTCATATTGTCACCTGACTTATTATATATTTATTTCTTTATTATTATTCTTCCTCGGTTACAGTGAAATTTCCATGAGATCAAAGACTTTATTTATTGATGTAATAGATAATGAATATCATTAAATGAATGGATCCATGCCAGCAATCAGTCTCCACGGAGTCCCTAAACAGGACTTAGTCTCCTATACCTGCTGGATGGCCTCTTTCCTGAGGAATCAAAAGAATTAGAGTAAAAGGAATGGGAGACATTCATAGGAATGGAAGACATAGTTTTTAAAAAAGATTTACCTTCAAATTTTTAATAAGGGTAGGTTAAAGCTGCACAAAATTAAAATATTCTCAAATTTTAGATCTGAGATGCAAAAGCATATCCTTTAAAAAATAATAGTTACAGACAACTGAAATATGTGAAATTATTCTGGGAGGAATTTTAAATAGTTTTTTCTTTTGAGCAGTATTATAATTAGTATTTCAGGGTGTTCTAAAATAATAGTTTCTATGCCAATATTTTTTTTTCTAACTCATGTTATTTTAATTTATATATTTATTTTTTCATACCATCCAATATGTCAATATGTGGCATGTATACTTAAATTTTAAAACTCAAGTTGTTCTTTTAAGACTCTTTCATTTTCCCAAATTAAACACCAGGCTTGAAAGACCTGATAAGGTCAGATGTTTTCAACACCTCCTGCAAGATGATGCTCAATTTTGTTGTTTCAGTCTTACAGGGGATAGAGCATTCTTTGTTCAAGACCAGTCAGGCCACTTTCAAAACACTAGACCAATTTTTCCTCAAACTTTTCTTTCTGTCATCACCTTCATAGATTTTTTCCATATCCACATACCACTTAAAAATAACATTTTTCTTTAATATGTTTGTTTAAACTTGCACTGAGATTTATTTTTAAACCAAACTTCATACCACTGTCATAAATGACAAACCAGTATAATTTGTCATAAACAGAGTATAACAATGGAAAATTGGAAATGAAATACTGTTAGGTCTAATTAGATTCCCTTACCTGCTAAAGTCTGAAGCTGAGGCCAAGTTTTTGTATTAAAAATGGAGATTTGCCAGAGTTGCAGGTTGTCACCTTATTGTAATCAGAATGAAGAGAGAACTAAAGAGAGAATACTTTTTCTCATTGCGAGCCAGGGTGATTTAATTGTTCCTGTCTTCCCCCAGTTCTCTTGGGTAACTCCTGCAATGATCTCGCACCACAGTAGTTTGAGTTCCACACTCTGAAAAACACCTTAATATTGTCGAGAGTTAATGTGATGATTGTGATGATGATTATTCTTCTTCAGTCCTGAAAACCATCAATTTCCTGCGAAGCCATTGAGAGAGTCCCAGAGCCACCTCCTTACTGATTCTCAGTCTTGGACAGAGAGCAGCACAAACCCGGGGAAGGATAAAGCTGGTAAGGGTGTGCCTGTTTGGCTTTTCGGATATATTTTATTTTTAAAAAGTTAAAGTAGTGAAAAACATTCCATTATATTTCCTAAAGGGTTTTTCTTGCTTTACAGTCTGACTTTCAGTGTAAATTTACAGTTATTTTTAGGAACTTCTATTTGGGAAGTACTTAAGTGTTTGTTAGCTCTAGAAAATCATTTTGTGAAAGATAGATCTACACTGTGTTTTTTTCCAGCTTAAAGAACCAAGTCTTTTTTCCTGCATACTAAATGATCGAAATAAATTCAGAGTATAATTTTTAAAATGGAAAAATGTAATCAACTCAGACAAAAGATTGAAAAATATCTGCTGTAAAGGATTTCAAATTATGCAGTTCTTTTACCCTAAGATTTCTATCCAATTTCAAAATGTCAAAGTGACTGCATAATTACCATAACTTTAGCTACATGTATTTTCTTCATAGTTCTCTTGTTATTGCTGTAGATTTTAATCTTTTGATTACTTCTTTATTGGCAAAGAACGGCAAGGTTTGAAGCCAGACAGACTTGATTTCAAATCCCAATTTGGGCACCTAATTAGTAGGTGGTATTTGTGAAGTTTACCTAAACTTTTAGATTTAGCTTCCTTATCTTGAAAACATTACTTATTTCCCAGGTTTGGGAAGGCCTAAGCAAAAACAATGTGGTCAAACATGCAGGTGTGAGTAAATGTGTATGGTGTCCCTATAAATGAGTAGGAAACCACTCATTCACCATTGAGACAATGTTAGCCAAAAACTCACTAGGTTGACTAATTGAATTCCTGAATCCTTTCTCCTTCATTCCTGTTCTTTTTCAAACTCTCTCTTAGCACTGCTTAGTTTTAGCTGACTGCACTTTATTTACTGGTTTCCTTGATGTCTCTTTGGGATTTAGTAATGGTGGGAAAAAAAAAATGGATTGTCCCGATTAAAAATTATAAGGTCTTTATTAAATATACTACAGGCCCGATGCATGAAATTTGTGCACTCGAGGGTCAGGGGGGTCCCTCAGCCCGGCCTGTGCCCTCTCGCAGTCTGGGAGCCCTCAGGGGATGTCCAACTGACAGCTTGGGAGCGGGCCTAAGCCGTCAGTCAGACATCCTTAGTGCTGCCATGGAGGCAGGAGAGGCTCCTGCCACTGTGCTCGCCAGCCATGAGCCCAGGTTCTGGCTGAGCTGCACTCCCCCTGTGGGAGCGCACTGACCACCAGGGGACAGCTCCTGCACTGAGTGTCTGCCCCCTGGTGGTCAGTGTGCATCATAGTGACCAGTCGTTCTGGTCATTCTGCCTTAATGGTCACTTAGGCTTTTATTATATAGATTAGGGGCCCAGTGCACGAATTTGTGCATCTTAAAAGGAACTGTGGGCTGCGAGGCTGCGGTGGGCACAGGGGCAGGTCTCGGCCCATCCTCTGTACTCCTGCCCTGCCCCTCCCGCTGTAGTCCCCTGTCTGCTGGCAGCCCCACTCCTGCTGCTCCCATGCGCTAACGGTGCCAGCCCCACTCGCACCCGCTGACAGTGCGGAGCAATTGGGGCTGGCGCCAGCAGCAGGTATGAATGGAGCCGACACTGTCAGTGGGTGGGAGTACTGGGCGGGACCGCGGCACACAGGAGAAAAGAATTTTCAGTAACCACCAGAGGCTCGCCCCAATGACAGCGACCGGCGCTCTGCCTTGGTCTGGTGCCCCCGCTCACCTGCTCCACCATCTTGCCGCTGCCGATGCCTACCATGTTCTGTGCACGCCCTTTGGTGGTCAGCGGCCCTCATAGTGACCGGTTGTTCGGTTGTTCCGCCGTTTGGGCTGTTTGCATATTAGCCTTTTGTTATATAGGATAATCAGTCATATTCTCCTAAAATATTGGCTTTCTTTAAGAAGTCTTGTTTTTTTTGTTTGTTTTTTTGTCCCACTTATTGGTTGATTCTTGTATGTGCCCTGACCATGTTTTTTTTAAAGGGTCGGGCAAAAGTAGGTTTAGTTATTCAAGTGGGAAATAGTACAATAATTAAAAATAATAATACAATTATAAATTCTGTGTTCTGTGTATTTATAACTATAAACCTACTTTTGCCCCATCCAGTATATTCCCTCAGAAGATCCGCATCATTTAAGTATTCATAATTTGGTCTCTCTTCACCTTCAAACCTGCCATTCCATTTTCTGATCTATGGGAAGGACAAAAATTGATGACACCTATTTGCCTTTCAAATTCATCAATTTCCTTAGAGGCAAAGAAGTGATGTATAGTTGCAGGTCAGTTTTTGGGCGGGATGAAGAAGGATTCATGCTGTTAGTAGTTGGCTTCTTGGATTAATATTTCTGTTAACTTTGATAGGTGAATGAGAAACTAAAGTTAAAAAGATGATGTAAAAGAAGAGAAACATGAGAAAGACGAGGTGAGAAAGGGCTCAAAGATTAGTTTGACTAGAATGAGGTTGGTCAAGGAAGAATTAGGAAACAATGATTTTGATAGTGGGAAGTGCCAGGTTCAGTGTGCCTTTTCCCTCAGGTATACATCTCTGTTTTTTTGGTGTGTGTTTTTTTTTGTGTGACAGTGGTTGTGGCCTACACTGTTTCTCATGTGTGTGTTTATATTACCATCTTATTTATAAACACCCATACCATGTACTAGGAAAACTCACGATGAATAAACAAATCTCTGCCTATTTGTTCAAAAGGAACCAAAAAAAGGCTAATTCAAGTTCTTTCTTGAAGGGATGAGCAATCCTGCATTGACCATGGAGAATGAGACTTAACTCTTCAAACAAAACAAATTCCTGTTGTATGAAAGTAAGTTAAGCTTTTCCTTTATGTTTTATATTTTTCACACTTTTCTAATTCTCATAGGGCAAATTGTTTCCATAAGCATTACTTATTTTTGAGTGATTCAAATTAAAAGATGCCTTAGCTGACCCAAAATAAGTTGATGAACAAATTCATTTTTATAGTAATACATTCTGTGGCAAAGGATTGATCCTGGAATGTTGATGTTTACATGTCAATTCTCTTAACATTTCATAGGATTGTACAATTTAAAAAAAATGTTTCTGTCCTTTGGGATACAGAGTAGTCATGTCCTTGATCCCTCATCAGCAGAATCTCACTGGGTCTAAGCACAAGAGAATCACATACTGTTAGTGGAGACCTTTTACCCTCTTTTTGGTCACACTAGGACCCACCCCACAGCATGTGTCATTCTTAAAATATAGGCATTCCAAATCACTTCCATTATACCATAATTTTTAAAAACCTGTACTTCAAAATCGGTTTCTTTAATACATAACCTACTTATAAGCCTGCAGTCAATAGAAAGATACGGTAAAGTGCCCTTTGGAGCAAAGCCATAAACATGTCGACAAAACAAACAGCTATAGCTACCGTTATAACAACTACAAATACATCAAGGTTATCAAAACAACTCTCTATTTATAAAACTTCAATCTAGAATCCCAAAGTCTATGAGAAGTGAGACAGTTGCATCTAAAACAAAATCATTCATGTCAAAGTATTTCATGGCTATCTGAGTGTGTTTTTAGTTTCTGTGTTTGTTTTTTTAACCCATTTGAACCCTCAAAATCTGTTTTTTTTAAATCTTTTTAAATTTGTTTTGTTTGGTTTTAATGAGTAGTTCTCTAAGTAACAGCAAAACACAGATCTGGCCATTTGCCCATTGACTTGTTTTGGTCTTGGATGACTATACATTATGGTAGAGTGGATCAGGTTCATCACAACTATGGTTAGGGGAGTGAAAATGTAATCTTCTTATAAGGTTAAATGTCAAAGACACACAATTAAATTTCTGGAAATGATTCTTAAAATGTAACTATGAATAAACAAATATGAATCACCAACCAATACCACAAATAAATGTTTTACAGAACATAGGTCTGTAAAGCATGCAAATTTTTATAGGAATTTCCTTAGTATTTTGAATTATTAGTAATAATCACCATTGTTTGGGAGGTCATGTGTTAAATATTTTACAAGTTTACATCGTAATATCATGTCATGTAGATGTCCCAGTGTATTGACACAAGACCGCTGTTGCATTTGTTCATCATTATCCTCCACACTTTGCCAAGTACCAGACACGTAGTAGGTTCTAAATAAGGATTTTGTAAATACGTGGTAAAATAATGTTGTTAAAATTAACAGTCTCACAAAAACTTGATTTTATTACATTTGAATATAAGACATAATGGTCTTAACCATAGGACGGCACAAGTCAGCTGCATTGACATTAAAAAGTGACTTTCTGATGTCATACTTTTCATTCTATTGATATAACCAGTGACAGTAAAATGTTTCTTTTTTTAAAAATTGCATTTTCCTAAGGTATAGTTTTTCCAAATAGTTTTTATAATAGCTTTTCTGCTTTACATCTTTGACTTGAAATTCACTCAGTGCAGATTTATATTGAACATATGCTTAATTTAACTACCTTACTAAATGTTATCTTCATATTCTGTTCTCTTTTTGAACTACATTAGTAAATAACCTGTGGCCTTTTATATATTATTTCTTAGTCAGCATATGTCCCAGATAATTATAATGTTCCTAGACCTATAGTAGTGCTAAAGTAGAGACTCAATTTAGGCTATCCAACCTTCCCTCTTATCAATTATAAACAAAAATTGCTGTGTTTCTATGCACATGAAATTTCAGACATATTTCCTTAAGTCCCTCTTCTAACTCATCTGTCACTCCTAAATGTGTAGAGGCCCTCAGACAAATGCAGAAGAACCCTGCCTCTCAAATTGGGGTCCCAAACCAGTATCATTGCCCTCACCTGAGAGCTTAATAGAAACGCAGGATGCTGAACCTCACTCTAGTCCAGTGATGGCGAACCTTTTAGCTCGGCATGTCAGCATTTTGAAAAACCCTAACTTAACTCTGGTGCCGTATCACATATAGAAATTTTTTGATATTTGCAACCATAGTAAAACAAAGACTTATATTTTTGATATTTATTTTATATATTTAAATGCCATTTAACAAAGAAAAATCAACCAAAAAAATGAGTTCGCATGTCACCGCTGACACGCATGTCATAGGTTCGCCATCACTGCGTCTAGTCCTACTGAATCAGAATCTGCGTCTTCTGCATTCTAACAAGGTCCTCTGGTCTTGTATATACACAATATAGTTTGAAGGCATTGATATCGAGGGCTATATTCAAGAACACATCTACTGAGTCTTCTAGTATCGAAAACAGTTTTGAACAAGGGATGTTATTGCAACAATGAGTTTGTTTGAATGGATGAGTTGTTGTTTTCAAAATAGTTAACACAATAGTTTCATGTTTTCTGTTTCATTTCTAGGTATCAGTGCTGTAGATGGAGGAAGAGGCTTCCCACAGGAGGGCACGTTGACCAGTTGTCCCATTTCCCTTTGGCTGGATACGCAGAATATGAATTGATTACTTCTTTCTGAGCTGTTGCTTAAAACATCACCTTTTTCAAATCAGGATACAGATTGTCTCAACTGACACAAATTTCTGTGAAATATTAAAAATAATTGTGTCTTATGGATCAAGGGCAAAAATGCCTTCTATCATAAAAAACTTTGAGGAAATTCATGGGCCAGTTTTCACCCAAATAATTCGGTAGCACAATTTATCACAATTTTCATCCAGAAAATTAAGATGAAGAAACTGAGGTTGAAAAGATTTCTAGTCACATTATAATGATAAGTTTATTCGTAAAACCTGTTACCTATGAAAACATGGAGAGGTAGCCAAACAGACTTCTTTGTTTATTCCTTCTGATGTCAGTCCAGCTTCAGATGGAGTGAATTTATTAAAAGTTCCAAATGACCTATAGTTGAAGATCACCATCCATTTTTGCTAGACTTTAATCTAATTCTAGCTTTTGTTCCCTGCTAGAAAATAAGTATGATCACTGATGCTCGAGCTCACTGATAAGCAACTCGCTAGAAAACTTTTGTCAGAAAGAATACATTTCTATTACATCTGAAATATATTTTTCATCTCTTCTTATCTTAAATTGGGGGAAATCTATAACAATTATGAAAATCGGTTTATTTTTTATGATACTCCTTAGCCAGTTTGGCTTAAAAATTTTTTTAAATGTTTTTATTGATTTTAGAGAGAGAGTAAGAGGGAGAGAAACACTGATGCAAGAAACATCCATTGGCTGCCTCCTGCACGCCTCTTACTGGGAATCAAGCCCGCAACCCAGGCATGTGCCCTGACCTGGAATGGAACCAGCAACCTTTTGGTGTGTGGGACAACACTCAACCAACTGAGCCACACTGGCCAGGGCTTAACATTTTTTAAAGTTATTTTATTTTATTTTTATTGAACATAGCAAAAACATCTAATTTCTGTTAAGAATTCCTGATGGGTCAATCAATTAATCCTCCATTTATATTGATATTATTTCTGTGTTCTCTCATCAAAGGTATGATAGTTTAAATATATAGTTCGTCATCTATTAAGATTAAATGATGCAAATCATCAAAAATTATACACTTTTGGAAATTTAAACATAAGTAAATGGTGTGCTGTTTGGAAATTGAGTTTCAGGTAAACTGAAGTGGTGTGTTTGTTGATGCCAAAATCTTAGGCTTCAGTAAATATACTAAGAAGCTCTTGTGCCTTGTATGCACTATTAAAAAAAAAAAGTTTTATTTACTCTTTTTTAATTTGTTGGAGTGTAAGTTTTATAAATGTTAGTGATTAGAATAAGCTGTATACATTTTTTTGGTACCGATTTTCAGAATTTAAAGCAGATTACCTTTTAAAAACTGCACAGCTAAGGAACTGGTATTTAATCAAAGGGAAAATGGTATTAAACTTTTCAAATTCTGAGTTAGACAAAATAGGTTAGAAGGCCAGAGGATAATGGAGTAATAATAGATCCTTGTGATTACTCATCCTTGCTAAAAATACAAAGAGTTTAAAATGAGTTAATGGAAGAATCGGTCCAGTCCATTTTCTAGGTCATTTGAGTGCAATTATTTGAACAATAGGATGGCAGTTTTTTTGTTGTTTTTTTTTCTTTTCAGATTTTTTAAAGCTAAATATTTTAATCTGACAATCTGCTTCGAGAAATTTCATAAGATATATTTTTACTTTTAACTTAAAGCATTTTTTGGTCATCATTTTTCATTACCTGAAGTGCCAGGTTGGAACCTATAGCTACTGTTTGAAGTCTTAAGGGCAACAGCATTATGTGACATATTAAGAATGATATGCAACCAGATATTTTTCAAAGCACAGTACTATTGCTGTTTTTATTGGAGTAGGATTGTTAGATGTTCCCTATTGTCAAACTAGAAGCTAGGGGGGAGAAAGGGAGATTTCTATTCTTTACCTTGCTAGAGTACTGTTCATCATTTCCCCATTTAGGTCATTCATGTAATTATTGAAATACATAAAGCCAATACACATTAAATTCGGATTTGAAAACATTTTTAAAAATAAAAAATTTTCATTAAGTTTCAATGGTTCCCTTTTTGTTTCATACAGTAAATAATCTTTAATGGGTTTTTTTTTTTGTTTAGTGAGGGTGGGGTTTACAGTTCTAGGGGGTTATAATTTTTAAAGATGGCATATCTTATTAGACATGCAGTATAAATTTTACTTGAGTGAATAAAGCATACTTATAAAATGTACCTATTCGTTAACTATTTGCCATTGTTCAGTGAAAGGGGGTTTGGTTTTTCAAAGATTAGTTAAAGAAAAATTGCATCTAAATACAATGGTGAGACATTCAAGGCAGTGCTTACCCACGAATTCCCTGCTGTTACGCCGTAATAAAGTCTGGTTGATCGCCTGTACTAGCTGTCTGTATGAAGTTGCTCTGCACGACCCTCTGAACTGCTTCACAGATAGATACACGGTTTCCAATAGTGTACCAGAGTTAGCTACTTACTATAGGCAAAATTCATGTCTATAACCTGGTCGTAACACAGGTTTTCTGAGGAGAAATGGGTGACAAGATGAGATAATTACTCAGTAGTAGTTAAATGATTCCAAGGACAATTGGAGCAGACTGTAAAACTTAAGTACACTGTAATCAACAGACAAGTATTGGAAATACGGCATATGTTTGGCAAAACTATCATCACTAAGAAAATCAAAGGATTTATAAACCATGTTCATAAAAATTTAAGCTAGTAATCATGTGAGTCATGCTCAAAAGAACCCATGAAAAACTGTTACTCCACTATAAGCTAGCAAATTTTGAAATACATGTAAACTTGCTGAGCTGATTCTGAAGTTATAGAGTGTCTTTAATATACACATCTTATTATCAAATATTTACTTATAAAAGTGAAAGTTCTAATACCGTTATGATTTTTTAAACCCAATACATGAACCACATAAATGGTCAATGTAGCAAATCCACTTGCCTGGAAAACCATAAAGAAGGTATTCAGTGTGACCATACCAGCTACCCCTGGACAACAGATTTTAATCTGCTAACGTTTTTGTCCACAGTAACACATTTGGACAATGGATTTGCACAAAGAACATGTCTCCAGGTAAGATCCTCCTGCAGAAATCACCTACCCTGCTTTCCCACCTCCTTGGACAATTTAGAACGTATTTTCTCTTCCGTGTGGAAGCAGACCACATACACACTCTAACTGCTTGTTACTCTTTTACAAACATACCACTAGAATTATTTTAAACGTGGTAAAAATTCAGATTCTAACTTTCATCGACATTTTAGCAACTTGATCATGTTACTTATTAAAAGCATTACACACATGCGAACAATTTTTATTTTAAAACTAAGCAATCTGGTCCCTCTAGGATTCCATTAGAATTTATTTTTTTTACTCAAGGATCTTATTTGGTTACAGGACACAGGAAGTTGTTATACTTTATAATGGTCCAAACTGTGCACTTCCCTTTCCTCTGCCAGGAGGGGTTTGTTATTGTATAGAGATGTAGCCAGTGGGCATCCCTGGGGATGAATTCCAGCAGGCTTGTTTCAAACGAAATTTGTGGATCAAAATTATGAACATGAAGAGGCTCTGATATAGATGTTTTTTTAATCCTCAAACAAGAGGATGTAAATAAAGAGGATGCTCTACCATAATGCTAGAATCTAAGCCAGTGGTTCTCAACCTTCCTAATGCCGCGACCCTTTAATACAGTTCCTCATGTTGTGGTGACCCCCAATTTCATTGTTACGAATTGAACATAATTAAAGCATAGTGATTAATCACAAAAACAATATGTAATTATATATGTGTTTTCCGATGGTCTTAGGCGACCCCTGTGAAAGGGTCGTTCGACCCCCAAAGGGGTCGCGACCCACAGGTTGAGAACCACTTGTCTAAGCCAACTAAAAGCCCAATCTCTGACACCCTTTAATTGTTGTTATACCAACGAAAAGTTCAAATATGATAATCTGGGCAATACCAATAGACTTGATGCCACTTGCAGCCCTTTCTCACTGCAGGGAAGTGACAGCAAAAACAAACAAAAAATAACTGGTGACAGTGCCCAGTGATAGATCTTTGTTCTTATTCATAGCCAGTATTCAGTAAGTAGTTCTGTATTGTTAGTTTACAGTTGGGGAGTGGGGAGAGATGGCTAAGATTATTCATCTGCTGAATTGAATTATTTCTGAGTACTACTCAAACCAAAGATGGCCTTCTGGCAAGTGACGTTCCACTCTGGTTTATGCAACATAAAGGAGCTCGTTGCTCATGAAGAACAGGACTATTTTATGGTTTAGGTTGCATCTTGCAGGGAAGGTTTCACAGTGTAAGGAGCTCAAGTAAATTCATTAATATTTAATAGCTGTCTGACAGATAAAGGTGCTGAATTAAAATGAGAAAAAACATAATGCGCTAAAGTAGAATTCTGTTGATGCTAAATTGCTGATCCCATAGAGAGCTTCAGTTCAGTTTTTTATTGGGCTATGAAAGTAAGGCTGTTGTCAAAGTTTAGGCTTCACGTCCCTTTCTATCATTATGTAGAGCCCTCTAACACCTAGTATTGAAAGTATCTTAAACGAGTTAAACATTTAATGGACATTGAATATTTAAAAAGGGAACCTTACCCTGGCTGGTGTAGCTGTAGCTCAGTTGGTTGGAGTGTTGTCATGTACACTGAAAGGTCGTGGGTTCAATTCCCGGTCAGGGCATATCCCCAGGTTGTGGTTTCAGTCCCTCGTTGGGAGTATTTGAGAGGCAACTGATCTATGTTTTTCTCTCACATTGATGTTTCTCTCTCTCTCCAATTAATAAACATATCTTTGGGTGAGGATTTTTTTTTAAAAAGCCACCTTAATTACAGTAACTATTCTTAGTGTAACATGGAATATATTTTAAAGTTCTTTAAAAACCACATTTAGGCAGGAAGTAGATGTGGCTGAGCCCAGAACAGTTATAAAGAACCGACAAAGGGAAGTCTGTATACATCCATGTAGCTAAAGCTTGACTATTTACTTTCTACATGATCTTTGCAGTAATAAAAGGCACCAGCTAATAATGAACAATGCTAATTCTTGTTTAGAAGAAAATAAAACTAAGGCGTAAGACACAAGTGGAATGGGCTCCTGCCAAACGAAAACAGCTTAGTTCCTTTTCACA